CCGACACATCGACAGTCACTTGTGCGACGCGTGTCATTAGATTTATCAAGTTCCGCCTGGTCACGACTCATCTCTGCTTACGTCACAACGAGCTTGTACCACATTAATGTCAACTGAATTAGAGACCCACGTCAATACGTCATAAACGCGGCAATTGATGTCGTAATTAATTTGATGGAGCGTGCCGCGTATAGATGACCCACGCTGAACTGTCCCACCAAACTCAATGACAGGGGGGCGCTACCATCGATCAACTATATGGTTTCCAACATGGCAAAAATCTGGACCAGCGATCCGGTATTGACGGTGGCGCCCCACTGTCAATGTCATCGACAGGACAGTCCAGTATTTTGGAACTATACCCTAGTTATAATTGGGGATTAATAGCGCTTATTTTTTGTAGATAATCTACATTGTCCACGTTAATCAATTACATATTGTGTCAACATGTTTTATTTTAATCTATACTTCTATACTAATATTATAAATGCTAAATTAACTCTGTCTGTCGGTCTTTCTTGCTTTCACGCCTAAGCCACTAAACCGATTTCGATGAAATTTGGCATAGAGATACCTAGTTTGAGTCCCGGGAAAGGACATAGGATAATTTTTATTCCGGTTTTTGAAACAGGGATGCGAGCGAGAAAGTTTTTCTGTGACAGACAAAATTCCACGCGGGCCAAGCCGCGGGCGGAAAGCTAGTAATAAATATAAATAAAATAAAAATGAATATTATTTAATTTCAGACAAAAACATTCATATGACTGGCTGGTGACCGAATTATACAAATGATGAAGAAAAGAAACGTGTAGGCACGTGTAGGGTAGATATTAATAGGTATGGTTTTCTTTTAATTTAAGCAAGTACCTCCCTATCTATATTTCCCAGCCTGTGTACATATTTAGAAGTTAATTTGATAGCAGCGCCAATTTGCCTAGAATGCCCTAGTACGAGTATGCTGGCGAGAGCGGCGCGACACTCGCCGCCTGACCGCGCCGCCAGATGGCACAAGCTGTCAGCCGTGAATACATCAGTGTTGGCAAAAAGTTAATCTGATTAATGATTAAAAATTAATGATTAAAATCATAATCAAATTTTTTTGATTATGATTAGTTAATCATTAATCAAAAATTTTGATTAAGATTAATTAATCATAATCATTAATCGTTAATTTGATTATTTGATTAACTATCTACTATTTTCATAAGAAAAGGGTTGGGAGTGTATGAAAAGGTACCCGCGACATATAAAATATCTAGCAAAGGGGGATCTGGAGTTTTCCCAAAAAACTGCGTCAATTTTCACTACTCAAAACACTTATCGCACTAGTTTTGTTTCTCACAATTCCTTATATTCTTCCGGTATCCTCCAGCAAAATTGTGTCAGGATAGAAGTTAAGCGGGCTGGCTGACGATAGGGGAGAAGTCCCCCCCCTCCTCCCAAGGTAGGCGCAAGCGTGGGCAATTTAACGGAAAGGTGGGGTTGCTAAACTAGGACGTTTTGTGTGTTGGGGAGGTGCAGGAGAGTTCGTAACAGAAGTTTCGGGGGGAGGCCCACGCGTGGGCAATTCAATAGAAGGGTGGGGTTGCTAAGCTAGGAAGTTTTGCGTGTTGGGGAGGTGCAGGAGACTTCGTACCAGAAGTTTCGGGGAGAAGCCCACGCGTGGGCAATTCAATAGAAAGGTGGGGTTGCTAAACTAGGAGGTTTTGCGTGTTGGGGAGGTGCAGGAGAGTTCGTACCAGAAGTTTCGGGGGGAGGGCCACGCGTGGGCAATTCAATAGAAGGGTGGGGTTGCTAAGCTAGGAAGTTTTGCGTGTTGGGGAGGTGCAGGAGACTTCGTACCAGAAGTTTCGGGGAGAAGCCCATGCGTGGGCAGATATTAGCACGTCACTACCTTGTTTAATATACCACGCAATCTTGTATACCTACCCATTCTTATGAAACACCATACAAGAATGCATGGTAAATTCAGTGAACTGCTCCTGAATCGAATGTACCTACTACTACTATTTCTATTTATTTATATTAACCGGCAGACAGTGGTGACTGAGTTTGTTGCGGCGCTTCTTCTCAGCACTTGCCAAATGTTGGTCTCGAAGCGCTGGTAGGGTAAAAAGATTATGAGACATGTAGAGGCTCCTTAAGAGCATATTTTATGACGATTTGTAAGAACTATTTATTAGTCTAAACAAATAAAGAAATTTTGACTTTGACTTTGACTTTGATTAATGATTAACAAATTAATCATGATTATGATTACTTTTTTAATCATGATTATTTTAATCAGGATTAATTTAATCATGATTAAAATTAATCAAATTAATTAATTGATTAAAAAATTAATTGATTAGTGCCAACACTACATAGTAGCATAATATACCTATATTATGTATATTATGTGATAGTACTGTGATGCCGTTTGTCTATAGAGCAGACCGTATGCGTTTACGAAATAGAAATACCTAATCAACTATTACAGTTAATAGACCCGTTAGAAAAATTCATTATCATCAATAATTTCAAAAATGGTGGGGTTACATCTTCTTCTATACTTATAATAAATCTGTAGAGAGGTCAATTCTGTACATGAAATATATTTTCAAAATAACTATCAGGGGGTGATAAGTGATCGATACTGATACCAAAAATGCAATCAGTAAAATTTTTGTCTGTCTGTCTGTCTGTCTGTCTGTCTGTCTGTCTGTCTGTCTGTATGTTCCTTATAGAAACAAAAACTACTCGACGGATTTTAACGAAACTTGGTACAATTATTCTCCGTACTCCTGGGCAGGTTATAGTATACTTAGGAATTCCCACGGGAACGGGAATTAGCGGGAAAATCCTTTTGTATGAAAAATCTAAACCGCTTAAGTTAGACGCTTAAAATTTGGGATGTAGGTACCTTAGTAAACTTAAAGCTTAGTTACAATAAGGAATTCCCGAAATTTTCCACGGGATCGAGAATTAGCGTGAAAATCTTTTTGTATGAAAAATCTAAACCGCTTAAGTTAGACGCTTGAAATTTGGCATGCAGGTACCTTAGTAAACTTAATGCTTAGTTACAACAGGATATTGCAAAATTCCCACGGGAACGGGAGTTAGCGGGAAAAAACATTTGTATGAAAAAATCTAAACCGCGTAAGATAGATGAAGGGGGTAAAACACGCGTACGAAGTCGCGGGCGGCCGCTAGTAGATAATATTTTGTTAAAAGATTTCCAATTTGAAGATACTGGCGTTCATAAATAATTAAATTTAAATAATATGTATTAGAGTTACACAGTTAGAGGTAAGATAGCCAGTTCCTCCGTGGTTGAGGATTCCGGGTGAAGCTCGCTTCCACCTTCGGCCTGATCGTCACTTACCATCAGGTGAGATACAGGCCAAGAGCTTCCTCGTTGTGGATAAAAAAAAATTCTAATCATCTTGATCGATAAATAATGCAATAGCAATCAGTGTATTTCCGCAATGGTTCTGCTGACGTACCTACGTCGTTATGTATGTGTTATAATAAGACGGTCTCGGTGATGTATAGTGACCGTGGGTATTTTTGTGACGTCACGTGCCTCTCACACCTTCGTCAGTAGCGCACACGTTTGTTTCTGTTCATTTATCTGGTTTACTTATTCAGAAACGCCCAATCGTGAGTACGGGGAAGTCCGCATGACCTTGTTGTAACATAAACATTGTGACCTTTTGACTTATTGCGCTACAACGTTTTGTGCTGTTTATCAATATTTTTATATTTTATTATTAAACTCGCAGCGGAACGTTCAAAGTGCAAGTCCAGACAGATTAAATTTCAAGGCTACCTACTGTGTACACTGTACATAACGTAACAATTTAAGTATTTAATGCGATATCTAAACTTAAATTTATTTATTTCGGACAACCAACAAGACACACAAGTAAAGGGGTTATTTTAATAATTATTATGCTTACATGGATGAGTTACTATTTATTATTTCACAGATTACTGGTAAACTGATAACCTATTTGTTTGATGATCGTAATAATATGAAATGACTGCCCCCGCGTTAAATTCAGATCGTCACAGTCCATTGCTTATGTGTTATTCTGGTGAATACTGTAAGATTTAACAAAATTCGTTAGTTTTTGCATGAAAGCGTAGGAAGAGAATTAGTAATGATAGGTAATTGTACATATACATACATGTCATTGCACGACTAATTACTGGTGTAAACATTACTTATTGAGTACCTACCTACCCAACACATACCTAACTACTTATTCGTATTCCCCTATGGGTTTTTATTATTTAGTTAAATTAAACATAACACACTAATGAGTGGTGTCTAAATAATGCCAAAGAAGAATCCCTTACGTCAAGTAGCCTACATAAGTAAGACTTGGTTACATTTGTATCAGTCAGTAAGAAGGATGGTTAGTAATTTGCAGTAGCGGTGTCTGAGGCGTTGATGCGGGCACCGTCGCGTGCGCGCCGGCCGTTTGTCGCGCGGTCACTGGGTCACGCCGCCCTCGCGCCGCCCGGTAGGCTAGGGCGGGATACATGCACTTTACTAATCACAAATCACAATTCGCATCTTGTTATTACATCAATACATAGGTACAGCATAGTATTACAAAGGTATATAAAAGAAATGTTTACCAGGCATCATCATCAATGTCTTCAAACTTTTCTATGTACATAATAATATAACCAAATCAAATCAAATATATTTATTCATAAAACATAGGTACAAAGGGTGATAATTATAATTACAGTGAGCTCTATGCTTAACCTATTCAGGTACCTACATGAATTATTTTGTGACTTCCGTCAGAATACATAATCAACATTAAAATTATTATTAATTGTCAATTGAAATTAAATTATAGTAGTAAAAAAAAAAAATTAAACTCTGATTTTTAATTCGACGGAATTTTGTCATTTCAGAAGTGTGGCCAACATTGAAACATTCCAAAGTTATAATTATAACCAAATTCACTTGATATAATGTTTCTTTATTTGATTTCCAGGTCCGCCTGGGCCTCCTGGGAAGAGAGGAAAAAAGGGCAAGAAAGGCGACCCTGGAGAGCCTGGTCCATCGGTAAGATTCTGTCAATGCTCTTGTACACAAAAACCCCGATGTTTATGCATTCTATTTTTTTTTCATACATAACAAGGTTTAACCGCAATCGCATATGCCTGAGGGCACAAAGGAATCAGGACGAGATATTATAGCATAATAGTATTAGTTATCTAGGTATATTATTATGATTTACCTATCTTTAGTGGAAGTAGGTATATTATCACTTTTTATTAGGCCCGATTCGACCAAACTTTTATCCGAGAATAACTCCTGGTATCTGGCACATTTCAATTCAATTCAATTCAAAACGTTTATTTGCCAAAAACACAGTAATACAGGGTGACAATATTAAAATAGGATCATGTGTTTAGTCTGCTCGCAGTCTGCTCATTGACAGTTTGAGTATGGGAAATAATTATGTCAAAATGACAAGTTTATTCTGAGAATAATATTTACCTACTCTTGTTTGGTCGAATCCACCCTTAATCACAAAGGAAGCAGGCAAGCAAGGAAATTTTAAAGTTTTGTCATTGTCATAGCTTCATATTTTTATTTCGCCTTCGCTTGTTAATGCGTAAATACTCGCTTTATTATGTTCATTTCGTTCACAGGGATTAACAGGAGCGCCTGGAAAAAATGGATTCCCGGTACTTACTTATTATTTTATTATTATTTTTACACTTTATTACGATTTATTTTTTTTCCTTTTATTTGATTTGTAAATATTTTCATTTTAAAGAGCAAGTTTTCTTTAGTTTTCATCATTTTTGCAGTTTTCTTTTGCACTTCCGCAAGACACCTCACTGAACTTCCTGTACTTTATTCCTTTTAAAGAAGACAAAAAAGTATGCAACCTGCTTACTTCACGGTTAATACAATTCTGATGGTGTAGGTTACTGGGCAATTTTATGTAACTGAAACTCTTCCAATGTCATGGGGAAATTCGATTAGAATTGTAGCTTACTTGTAGAGCTACAGCTCTAGTGCCATCTAATAGCGCTAGAGTGGCGCCAGAGTCGCGTTGTGTAACGGTGTGACGTTTCAGGGCAGCAAAGGCGAGAAAGGCGAGCGCGGCTTCATGGTAAGAGGCGTCCGTAGAGCCCTCGCCTCGCCTGCCACTAACCTCCGGGACTCTAGCTATGATTCCATTCTGAAAAAGATATCATACAGTTATTTTTACCCGATTGCGCCAGAAGGAGGGTTATTTATTGTTCCGTTGTATATCTAGTACCTATTTTGGATATTATAACATAAATATTTTCCTCAAAAGCTTATCAACATAAACAAAGCTCCAGGTTTTATGTGCTGATGTTGTTAATTGTTTTATTAACATATGCTTAAAAATTAGTATCTACTTTGAGAATTAAATGTTATTATTTATTGTTTAGGATTGAGCAAGAGTCCTGGGATCAAATTAACAGCAAATCCTGCGTTTGGCGTAGTTAGTTTGGGTGGATTGAATCTTATGACCTTTGTGTGATTTGTGTACATCCACTTAATAGTGATCACACTTATTAATTTTGACCTTACTTTAACTCTGTGTTCTGACTAAAAGCATGTTCACACAAAGTCTGTTGTCTTAACTCGTTATCTGTCCTCTTTTTCTTGCACGATAACTTACTAATATTACTACCGCCTATGTCATGTTACAGTGCTGTGTAAATACTTTTCAATAAAACTAAATATAATTTGTTTTAACAATAAAATTCATGAGTAGTGAATAAAATTATGGAAAATATATTAAATCAAAGTTATTACGATCAACAATTGACTAAATTAATATTTAAATTTCCAGGGACCAATAGGGTTGGATGGACCAAAAGGTGACCCGGTAGGTATTCTGATTTATTTTTACAAAGAATAAACAGTGAATGCGAATATAAAGTAATTGACCGACTGCGCGTGCGTTGCAGGGCCGGCCCGGGGACAAGGGCCAGAAGGGCGAGCACGGCAGCCCGGGCTTCGACGTCTTCTCCGCCGTCAAGGTACACTCATCTGCTATAATTTAACGTCGTACAGAAACTGTTTAATTGTAATTCATTAATATGCAATACTAGTCCTACGTTTCCCCTCTAAGATCTAAATTAATCCATCATTTGAAACGAAAAATGAATAATTTCTGATTCAGTTAAATAAATGCTAATTGCAGGGTGTGAAAAGATCGGTGGACAACTTTAAAATTAGTCCGTACACGACCGCGGAGATCATAGCAGTGAAGGTACTCGCACGACACTGGAGGCTCTCAAACTTACGACTCTAGAACTCCTATAGAATTATTGAAAATTTTATTTCATTTAAGTATTTCAACCATATGAAAGTCTGTGAGACTGTCTAAATATTATAGGAAACTAAAATCAGTAACTAGTAGAAGCCATGAAAATTTCAGATTGCATTTATTAATTCTATCAGTATAAGTACTTCTACTAGTTCATACTTTGTCATTGATTCTATTTGTACTTCGAGTAGTACTTAGTTCGTAACCATTATGTCGTTATTACTGTAAATTCAAATGTTCAATTTCATTATGTCTGGGATACGAGTATTGTATTTCTATGGAAGTTCTATTTTCTTGCGAGTTGACTCCTCCTTTTCGTAGTTAGACATCGATGTTAAGCACGCGCTTGTGTTCGTTGCGAGAGGTATCGGTTATACAAGTTGTTGGTTAAGTTTGCTTGTAGGAAAATATTTATTTATGTTGCGCTTTTTAGTGAACGGTACCAAAGGGATATCATTAAATATTTTTAATTTCAATGAGGTATTATTTAAAATTGTGTAAATATTTGAAGTCTCTTGCACGTTATTGAAATGGTATTAAAGGAATTAGAAGTTTAAGAGCACACTAGATACTTATTTACAAAAGCATTAATAAAAAAAGCAATTTAATGCCATTTGAATAAAGCAAGAGTCTTTGCGAGACGCTACCCGTGACGCCTTGGCTTGTAATCATCTGACTTGTTTGAGGTCGATTTCATATGGACAATAGTCAATTGAAATTGTAATGCGGCGTGCAATGCGAAGCTACTTAGGGACATTTGTAAACCAAGTAGTGAACTGAGCTTAATCCCAGTTTAGCGTCAGTGGGTCTCGGCCAAGTCGGAGCGGGTGCATGGGCATGCACTGTGTTGTCGTGGTATTGACGTAGTTGCGTATGTAGGGCCTGCAGGCGGCCGGCCACAACATCTCGGCGCACACCATCATCCAGCTCAAGGTAAGCCGTGTGGGCTCGCGGACGCTGTGCATGCTCGCTTCTATTTATTATTCATATTAAACCGCAGGACGCTTAATGTTTTTCACGTGTCTCTACTATTTTTTTCTATACCTATGCGTAATTTTGATACTCCACTTATCTTACCTATCATTTGTTAACCTTGAAAGTACCTACATACATATTATTTACTCACTTTTCTAATCCATATTATATTATACCTAGTTACTACATATTAATTTTTCTTTTTTAAACTATTTACCAAGACAATACTAGTATGTTAAACTAACACCTAACATTTACTTAACAGAAAATATTCTAAGACCGTGCTTAACGTTATTAGGGAGAACCTGGTGAACCGGGTCCACCCGGACCGGCTGGACCCCAGGGCCCGGAGGGGTTGCCAGGGCATGATGGTCGCGCGGGCCCTGCTGGGCCATCCGGCCCCCCTGGCGTACCTGGCCCGCCGGGGCCAGTGGGGCCCATTGGATTAAGTGGACCAATTGGACCTTCAGGACATAAGGTAACGGGCTTGGTTGTTTGATTCCAATCTCATCTAGAGTAAAATATGTATATCCAAAATATTTTACCCATTTTAAATACAAATTAGAAACTTTTCAAGACAGTTACAACGTTAAAATTATCACTTCACGGGATTTATTGCAACAATATCTATTTTAACGGTAAATAATATTTACCCTCCCGACGTTTCGGCTCGGTTGCACGAGTCATGGTCAACGAGTTACAACGGTTACAACGTCGGTCGAGTTACAACGTTATAATTGATTTATGGAATTGAAATGGTGTTTCCAGGGTGACAAAGGCGACAAGGGTGAGCGGGGCTTCACGACGACACTGAAGGGCGACGCGTTCCCGACCGGCATCATCGAGGGCCCGCCCGGCCCGCCCGGCCCGCCCGGTAACCACCACACTCGCTGCTCGCATGCTCCTAGATGTCGCCCTGGCCTCGCTACCAGCAGGCACTGCTTCACATGCAGAAGTTTTTAGGCTAACACCTTGAAGGCCAGGGCATTTTTAGAAGTTGGATTAGTTAACATCACAAGGCTACTGCAGGCACAACTAATTAATTCCCTATTAAAAGATGGAAAACGTAGTTAGAAAGTAATGTTGCCTTTAACGAAATGCTTTCACTTGTTGTTACATTAGTATTTTCTTCTTTACCTACCTAAAGTAAAGGAGAAGTAGATCATAGGACTGAACGAATAGACCAAATATTGAAATAGATCTGATGCTGAGGTAGTTTAGGTATTAACAAGTGGACTCGTGGATATGGTTGAAGGAACGGAAGGCGCACGCGGCGAGCGGGGGGAGGCGGGGGCCGCGGGCCCGCCCGGGCCGCCCGGCGACAAGGGCGCCCGCGGCAAGCGCGGCAAGAGGGTACCATCGCACGCGCATCCCGCAGGCTGCACGAGTGGCGCTGTCCACGCTCTACAAAGCTGATTCACGTTACCAAAATCTCGCGACTCAGACGATATTCCAGCATCGAATCGCAGATTCGTGAACCCGATTAAAATTAACGTGAATCTGTTTTATCTACCTGATTCTTCTCTATTATACTTCTGGAATCGTGATGTTAGTCCTTGAGAGTCTTCAGGATTTCATGTCCTTGTATCTTCGGCACCCCAACCGACCTCATAACTGCTTCCTGCCGCATGTGACTGCACGCGCACGCCCTGCACGGTCTAACGCCAGCGACTGTTCGCTTGTAGATTTAGTGACGGTACAAATGACTGCTTCGGTTCGTATCGACTCAGCTCGCTGAGCGGCCGTGTGAGTCTGATTTAGTAGAACTTCGGCTTGTGTAGTGGACTCCTCGCGCTTCACCAATTAGAGCACCAAGTAAGTTAAAGAACACGCTTTGATTTAAAAAAAATACGATTAGTGCACCTTATTAATTTCAACAGCTGATATGGTATTTTTTTACCACATAAATATACAATAATAATTTAGTTCTATTAAGTATTTTTTACATTAAACCAGCGTAAATATTACCCAAGTAATAATTTAAGTACTGACCTTTCATATTATTAAAGTGTCATAAATAATGTCAAGTAGGAGATACCTCTTCATGTAAACCATTTACATTATTCGCACTCCTTTTATACAAAGTAATATCAGTATTATAATAAAATAAATAATATCATAATATTTTAGGCAAAACTGGTGAAATGGGACCACGTGGGCCTCCCGGCATCGATGGCTCTCCTGGAACAGCGGGCGTGCAAGGTCCACCAGGAAAACCGGTGCGTTAAGACTACTTAAGTAAACTAACTATACTTTACCGAAAAACATTGTTAGACTTTAGTCCGAGACTAAATTATGATAAATCTATGTTTCTAATTTTTCCAAACAAAATAAAATAAATAAATAAATAGCAGGTTCTTGTAATTATTACTATGTATTTTATACATAACAGGGTGAGATGGGTCCAAAAGGATCGAAGGGCGAGTACGGAGACATGGGATCTCCGGGTATGCTGGGCGCGCCGGGTCTACCCGGCCCTCCCGGTTACCCGGGTCTGAAAGGCGAGAAGGGCGATAAGGGTGACTCGGTGAGTCAATGATAGCCAATCTTTTGCTTTTGGGTTCATTTATACACTTCATAATGTTAAATTACTATATTAATGAAATGGTTTTTTAGAAATGTCTAATACATACTGTAATATTCACGAACGATTCATCTTTAGTTACATAAAAACTATACATATATTATTCATAGATATACATACATACTTACGTATTTTTATTTCATTTTTTTTTATAAATAAAAACTGCATGTACTTTACAACTGCTCGGGCTAATGGTTCACGTTCCCATTCCACTATCTATTGTGTTTATCACAAGTTCACATGCAGACAGTAGAGCACACGTAACTTGCCGCGGGTTTGTTTCTGTTTCCGGTGGCGGTGCGCGGCGTGCCGACCAGAAGTACAGAAAGCTGAGGAGGAGACAGGTACCTACCGACTCTATTCCGTCCACATCTACTTAAAAAAGTATCTTCTATATAATTGAAACTTTATGACGCCTCTTGGCGTACACTTTTCATACTTAAAGACCTTTTTTACGTCACGAACTGTTAATCTTTATGCCCACTGTTGAATTTGCAGGGAGACGGCACTGGATACGAGCTGTACGGGCATGAAATGGTAGGTTGAAATTATTTAATAACTTTTCGTAGTGTTTAGGGTTCCGTACCGTGGTGGTGGGATCACTTTTTTGTTGTCCATCTGTCTCTTAAGAAGATCCTTTTTCTCATGAACGCGTATCAAGCTGAATTTCATATCAAATACTCAGGACTAAACTTATATACCTACAAGTTTATATGGAATCCTCGATGCGCGAGTCCAATTCGGACTTGGGCGGTTTTTTTTTACAATTAAATAACCACCAAATAGTGGCATTAAATATTTACATTGCCGCTTTATTCGTAGTTAACTTCATTATTTCAACCATAGGACGTCCACTGCCGAACATAGGCCTCCCTCAATGCTTTCCATGTTGATCGATTGGTAGTGGCCTGCGTCCAGCGCTTCCCTTATTACTTTACTTATTTTATTGCTAATACTTTCTATGAAAGATATTTCAGGTGCTGAATGGATGCAGCTCAATCACAAATGGCACCCATTTGCCTTATGAATTTATTATTTCTGAATGTACCTTCACATGGAAAGAAAGATCTTAGTAACATAGTATTTTATCCACAGATGATGGGTCCGCCGGGGGCGCCGGGCCCCGCGGGCGCGCCGGGCGTGGCGGGCCCGCCGGGCATCAAGGGCGACAAGGGCGAGCCGGGCGCCCGGGGCAAGGCGGTGAGGCGCTATCTAATATTTTTAGCATATACAATTAAAAACCATCTAAAAATGCAACAATAGAGATGTTTCTCAACAAAATATTAAATCAGCACCACAACCACAATATTTGAATAACGTAAAATAAGAATGATAAAATAGTTAATAAATTAATGTCACATAATGTTATCTCCTGATGCACTTTCACTTGAAAAGGTTATACAATAAAGGAAAGCTCTCTCCATGTTTCAGGGAGAAAGAGGAGAAAAAGGCGATGCAGGGCCCATGGGATTACCAGTACGTCAACTTAATAATACCTATTTGAAATAAAAGTTTCTTTTTGGTTTGTGAAAAGAAAAAGGGAAAGAGGAAATCGTGTAACAAATGCTCGACTAATATGTAACTTATTTCTGAAACGTTAGAACGAAACAAGGATATGTATGAAAATATAAATAAATACACTTTACAGGGTCCAGTAGGATTACCGGGAGAAGACGGGCGGCCGGGAGACATCGGACCTAGAGTAAGTATGTTCAGTAATCGAACTCACTCAATGCAATAAGTTACTTTTATTATTGTGAAGCCACATTTAGTAATTGATAACATTTTACTAATTTACTAACACGGTTGAGAGTAAAATTTACACAACTTTTAATATTGTGGCATGGTCACGTCATCGACACAGCGCAGCCGCAAGAAAGCAGTCTGTCAATGATTAAAAAAATTGGCCAAGTGCGTGTCGTACCACGCGCAGTGTAAGGTTCCGTAGTTGTTCGTCGTTACCACAATACATTTCAGAAGCAAGCAATTACTTCATCTAAAGTCACTTTTCATATTTTCTTCTAAGGATTTTTTACTGGTTAAGAGATTTTATAATACATGAGTCAAACGACTATTAATAAAGTAACTGAAATGCATCTTAACCGTTATAGTTTTCTTTGAAATTTCATGAAAAGCAGTATACGAATTTTTCGAGATTTTTCAACAGTTTAGTTTTTAGAGGGGGAGGGGGACGCTCTACTCGAACAAAAATTGGCACTTTAAATTTTAATAATTTGCAAACAGATCCCTAAATGGAAAAATTGTCTTAGAAACCCCTAAGCCATTTTAAAAGACCTATCTAACGATACCCCACATTACATTACATAAAGTGAGGTTTTACATGTAGGGGAGCTACCCTAAAGAAAAAATGTTTTCAAAATTTTATTTTACCGTTTTGTCGGCGTGATTAATATACATATCACTACAAAATTACAGCTCCCTAGTGCCAATAGTTTCCAAGCAAAACCTCGGACAGACAGACAGACAGACATTCCTTGTCAGGACTACGGAACCCTAAAAATCTGAACGTGAGATGCTTCTGGCGGCTGCGCGTGGCGAGCGCGACGCACGCGTGTGACACTAACCGGTGTGGGTGCAGGAGAACCGCTGGCCGCCCGACTTCGCCTTCACGTAGCGCCGCGCGCCGCCCCGCCTAGGCGCCTAGGCCGCCCGGCTCCGGCGACCCAGCACTCGACTGTTCTGTAAATTGTAGCATTTGTAATCGCCGCCGCGACACGTTACCGACCCTAGACATAAGTGTTGAACGATTGTAAAATATTATTTTTCGCTACCATTTACGGTAAGGTAAGTATTTAACGATGAAAGGACTCGTTCCTCCGGTCTGTGCGTAAGGAAGCAGTCCAGGAATTATTGTTATGTTGAGTTTCGAATGACTAGTCTATGACGCACGATAAGGGTGATTGTTTTGATTGTGTTATTACTATAATTAATTGTTAAATTTACCTATCAAAACCTCAATTGGCTACGTTGAAACAAAAGTAATCTCTTATTATCAAATATGCAATCGAAATGCATGTCTCTCAATAAACATTATGTACCTACTTGATCTCTCTAAATTTTCCTACTAAACTGCCTATACGGGTAGTGCCGTGTTCAAATTATATCTGCGGCACAGTTGTAAATTATACTAATAAAATAAGGTACGTCGTACGTAATAAGTAAATCTGTATTATATTAACCTAATAATAAGTAATCAAAGTATCAACGATCAGAGCAACTATTTTTAAAAACATATTATTTGTATATTTGGCAAAGGAATCTTAAACAAATAGACCGGTGCCAATTACTGTAAGTAAAACCTAAACCTCAGTAAGTTTGTATGTATTATCGAGTAAGTTTATTATCAAAGACACTATGTAAGTATGTGATATGCGTAGTATCGTTAGCTTGTAAAGTTCTGTCGTTTACCTTACAATGTTAATTCGAGTCTCATCATATCTCTACATTGTACTCGTTCTATCTATTATTAAGGTATGTTTGCCTAAATTCTTTGATATTGTATCTGTATGGCCGTTTATAAAATAGTTATTACTATTTAATTACATTATTATAATTATCTATTTTATCGTATCTGTAAACTAAGTATTTAGGATCTTTACGAGATACTTACTAAAAGCTCGTGCAGATAGTGTAATAATGATAACGGTGAAAAATGCTAAGAATTTTCGCCTAAACTTGAATTACATGTCTGCACTAGCTTTACTTTATTATCTTAAAAGCGAAATGAACCGCGATGCACCGATCAACTCTTAGATACACCTACCGCAATTGACTTTCCTGTTATATGCCCCACTCGTTATTTGGCAAAATGTTAGTAAAGAATTGATAAATCAGGTACTTGCCCAAAAATGTATCGACACTATGAGTATTACAGCACTTTCCCTTGTTACGTTGGTAGTGTAGTTCGCAAGCTGTCGGTCGGTGCGCGCGCGTCTTCGCGAGCACCCGGGTGTTCCGTCCCGAGGGCGCGGGCCGCGGGCGCCGCCCTCCCCTCTCCTTACACTTATCGAACTCTTTGTGTCATTGTATGTATCGTATTATACTATAACAATATTTATATACTTACCCCCTACTTATTACTCGACCTAATGCTTACGGTAAGCACACCGATGGCGATGCTAGCTATCAGTAAAAGCATGGACTCTATATTAAAAATTATGGTAATAAAAGTTTACGCGTATGTTTGAATGGTCTCTACATTAATTAATATCGCCATCGGAAATTACCTACTCCATTTTAAGCGACTACTTTAAACACGAATGTACAAAACACAATTTATTCTTAGCGTAAGTCTTATTAAGGCACTAACTGTGCTTTTAATGGTGGAAAAGCTCTGTCGGTAAAGAATTGTTATGTATAATTTACATTCCCTTCATGAGTAATTTCAAGATATCAAACATAACTTGTCCACATCGATCCTGTTTTAGTTTTCGTTGTTCCTAACGTTGCTCTACCACTATCTCACCAAGCAACAGCTTCATTTAAGATCGTGATTCAGTGTGCCGCTGAATGTTCCGACGGCCTACCACTAGTTGTAAGGATCTATTATCTTCTGATACTCATCTTCACCTATATCCCTTCCCCTCTCTGTGTCCTACTCTACGTATAAGTGTATTGTTAAGGTTTAGTTTTTTTATGAGAATCGAAAGTTGTCATTTGTACCATACGTCACGAGAGCATAAAATATTGTTGTTTACAAATTATTTTGAAGGAAAATAAACATTTGCATGCTGTGCATTTTGATGTTTCTTTTCCTAACTTCCTTTTACGTATCTCGCACGCTGCGAAGGACTCTACTGTCTGACACGGAGACCTCCGGCTCGCTGCATGCCCGCGGAGCCAGGCCTGGAAGACACTGTTGCCCACTCTACCTACGTCTTACCTGATAGCACCTTGTTTTGTGCAAGAGTATCGATTGCATGCAATTTCCAATACGCCCAAGGCTACCAAATTATTAAATTAAATTTTAACTTATTACAATACAAGACTTGACTCTATATTGGATTTCAACAAACTGAAAAGTCTGTACGTATTTTGTATGGCTCCCCCGAAAGATTGTTTAAATTTGAGCAGTCCCCTGGTAGCGCTGGGGCGCCTGCGCGAGCGAGCTGACGTGTGCGTTGTTGCAGGGCCCGCCCGGACTCGACGGCATGAAGGTGAGTGCGCCCGCGCCGCGCCCATCGCGCGTACTCTAACATTCATTATTATACCTACGACCATTTCAAAATTCACCTTTTCTTCACCATCAGTGCTTTTCACTTCCACACTTAAAGTAAATAACATTAGGCTCATCGCTTAGCAGAGTCCTGTTTCAAGTGTCAAGCGAAGTCAATGATAAATGTATACATAATCCCTTTTCAGCGATTCTTTGGTTTTTTTTTATGATTCGCCCTCTCATCCTTATTGGTATTTGAAACGGACGAAAACCATAAAAATTAACCTTAATACATAGTCACTATAAATCATTACCGTTACTAACCCTCTTGTTTGATGAGCACGTCGACGTAGTGACCATTGATAACAGCAAGTTGTTGGTACCGCAGGGCGCGCAAGGTGAGCCAGGCTCCAAGGGCGAGCGCGGCGACCCCGGACTGCCCGTATGTCTCGCCGATAGCTTGCGGCCGCCGCGGCGCCGCTTGACCGCCCCTGACGCCCCAGCAGTACTTCAAGCGGCTCCTGGAACAAAGAAAGCTGCCGGAGCTTGAACGGTTCCATTCACGCGACGATTTATACACCGTACGCATCGTGACATACAGAAACTGATACACTGTATGTGTCAATCAATGGTGTCAAACACACCGAACTACGAATGCACAAGAATTTTATTATGATGTTATAAATACTTCCCATTCATGAAGGACTTGTTATGCAGAAAAACACGTTTATTGAAACAAACTGGACAATACCATAAATACCTAAGATATAATCCCAAAAATCATGTATACCAATACCAATTTGAGTGGCTGGAAGAGCAGCTAGCTGATGGTAGAGTCGGCTACACGAGGGCCTGGTCAGCGGCGGGGTCAGGCGGCGCCGCGCGCGCCCCCATCCGCTATGTAGCACTAATGTACTAAACACCCCACTAATGCGCTTCCCACGGCTTTCAGGGGACTGACGGGATTCCCGGACAAGAGGTTAGTTAATGTCTTCGAAACTCGTCGGTCTAATCTGAAATTCGTTAGTGGCGTACTGACATGTTATTTTCGCTCGGTAGGGTCCAAAGGGTGACAAGGGCTATAAAGGAGAACCTGTAAGTTGTGGCAAAATTCAACTCGTGACTGTATAATATAGCTTGAATCTGCATCCGCTCAATCCGCTGTAACTTTCTGCCATTAATTTCGTTCTGCATGTATTTACTAACAATTACATTAATTATTAAATTTATTTACCTACAACATAAAATAACCAAACCTATGAATTATTTAAAAAATATCAGATATTGGCAAATAATAAAATCACTAAAATTATAATTTTAAATTAAAACAATACAACAAATAAAATCTTTTTCATGAACTTTTTAGACAGAGTTGTGTTTGAATGTATACATTTTGGTGTGGCCAGGGTCCCGTGGGCAAGCGCGGGCGCAAGGGCGACAAGGGCGACAAGGGCGAGCAGGGCGTGCCGGGGCTGGACGCGCCCTGCCCGCTGGGGCCCGACGGCCTGCCGCTGCCCGGCTGCGGCTGGCGGCCCACCAAGGTGAGCGTCCTTTGGCTCACAACTGAGCTTTTTTTTTGTACCTTTTGTATTAAAAAGTTGTGGTGTTTTGATTAACATGTATGGGTAACCGATTCTGCATGCGATGGTTTAATTAACATGTAATAATATTAACAAAGTAATTGATAAAATGAATCGATGTAGATCGCACTAAATATTTATAAGAAGTATGTGGAGTGGGGTCGTGTTGTGATGCGGGCGTTGGGGCGGCAGGAGTCGGTGCCGGCGGTGCCGCGCGAGGACGCGGGCGCGGCGTCGGACGAGGACGAGGCCGAGCCCGACGACGCCGACGCCGACGCCGACTACGACGCGCGCGACGACGAGCTCGACCCGCCGCGCGACTACGACGACTACACCGACAACGCGCACCTCTCGCACCACCACGACTGAGCTGCTTCTCTCTCCCTTGCCCGCCGTCGCCTGCCAGGGCTGCGAGGAGAGCGCAATGTCAAATACGATCAGACTGAGCGTCCATTTAGTTTATTCCGCGGACATTGTGCCTCCTTCTGCCCGTCCTCTAATACTACTTTCTTACTCTCTCCCTTTTGGTTTATGTTTCTAATAGGTTAAGACTAACTGTTGCGCTAATTGTATCCTTTAATTTTCCTATTTTCTACACTATTGTGGTGGTGGTCATAAGAAGTTGAACTGGCAGTAAGTTTTAATAACTAAACACCTAAAATAAATATGAGTCCTAGTAATATTGATAGTACCTGTGTATGTATTTAAATTAAAACGATATGACTGAAACCAACAACTTAGGTAGTTAAATTTTTCCCAAATACCTAATATGGGAAGGCAATCACAAGAGACCTGAGTGAAAAAATATATAACTTCTTAATTGTCAAGGCACTTCAACGTCTGGCATAATCGTTTTCAGGAGGCCCTGATGCAGTGGGTGCGCCGGCGGCTCGACGTCGACAACGACCTGCCCGTGTGACGCGCCGCGCGGCCCGGCCCGCCTAGCGTCGTCTCGCTGCCCGGCCCGGCCCGCCTAGCGTGGTCTCGCTGCCCGGCCCGGCCCGCCTAGCGCTCGTCTCGCTGCCCGGCCCGGCCCGCCTAGCGTGGTCTCGCTGTCCGGCCCGGCCCGCCTAGCGTGGTCTCGCTGCCCGGCCCGGCCCGCCTAGTATGGTCTCGCTGCCCGGCCCGGCCCGCCTAGCGTGGTCTCGCTGCCCGGCCCGGCCCGCCTAGCGTCGTCTCGCTGCCCGGCCCGGCCCGCCTAGCGCTCGTCTCGCTGCTCGGTCCGGCCCGCCTAGCGTCGTCTCGCTGCCCGGGCCGGCCGCGCCGCGACTCGTGGACGCGGTACGGTGCGCGGCGCGTGGGCTTCGTGCGTCTCTACACTTGCTGTGCCATACCGTCCCTGCACGGATCAGGCCGGGTCGCACCCGACTAACACGCGACACTCATGGATTGTACAAATATCGTAGGTCTGTACCATTAGTTATTCAGTGATGCTGAGTACTAAGGCCGTGAGCGAATTGAGGTGGCAAATTAGCTGTTTATATCCCTGCATAAGTTATCTATTAAATTAGGTTGAAATAAATCTTAACTATTTTTGTATTGTAAACGTCTATAAAATGCGGAATTGTTGATAAATGTATGTATTACTTACTAGGTTTACCTACTTGCTTAAAGGTATTTACCTATGCTGTTAAATTACTTTTTTTATTAAACTGGCATTTAGTGTTATTGTGATGTGAAATAGATTTTGAAATAACTTTTCATATTCCCATACCATCTCCTAACAGAGCGTAAAAAATGGTTTTCCGATGACAAATAACACAGTAACTACACATTAGCACTTTATTTATACAGCTTATTATATAAAGTGCCACAGCTGAAGTAAAAAACCTAACAAATGTTTATAATAATTATTAATTTATTGTAATTAATAACGTTTGTAAATAAGTACCTACGCCTCTCTAATTAAAACCACAAAGAATGAGTAATATTGATAACGTTGTGTAGAACATTGTTTACGTTTTATTAGTGATAAGCACAATAAGTATTATTGTGAATGCAGAATCTGATATTTCAGTTATTTTAATACCAATAATTCTCTTTTTAGTATAATTTTGATGTACATTATTTACAAACGTTCCTAATTAATTTACCAACTACTTATAAGTAGTATGAGTACTAGGAAAAATTTATTTGATTAATTTTTAAATTTTAACTTTTTACAAAAAAATATGAGTCATAAATTATAAAATACAATCCTTAGGTAGAACAGAAGAAGCAGTTTAGAATATTATTATCTATTGAATACAAGGGGGTGCACTTTTTCGTCCTTGAATTGCTCTGATTTACAATTACAAAAATAAATGAGTAAGTCACTATTTATTTGTAAAACATAAATATTGATAGAGCAATGTTGACCCAGCAGGAGTATTACAGAAACAAATACCGGTTGGTTTATTCTGTAAGTAGTCGCGCCAATAGACACTAACAAATAATGTCCAACGTAGAGCTTTGACGCCGAATTATCCAGTATCTACTTAGTGATTTATACACCGTGTTACTTTGCATTCTTGCCATATTCACAGAGATAAAAGTAGGTAACAATACCTATTATTTAAGATAAACAAGAGACTCCCATAAAGAAAGTACACTAAGATTTTAGTAAATTTGGTTTTTCAGTACAAATTGGAATAAACCAATTTTGTCTCGCACGTTCTACAGGTGCAAGTGGAATAAACCTAGTGGGCGTGGCCTAGTTCTTAATTTTATGGCTTTGGGTACCAGCCTTTTTATCCAGTCATAATAACTATTTTAAAATACTCTTCAGTTGATTTCAGATTTTCCTTTCTACTTTACGGGCTTAGGACCGTCAAAAATACGTAATAAAAAATAATAGGGTTTCAATTAATTTACAACATTGTACCCTATTTTTACAAATTAATAAATTAAGTATGAAATGAAATCACCTTATTCACAATTAATTATTTATTCATAAGTTCCTACTTACAAAGTTTACGTACTGCGAAGCAAGTGTTCAAAGTGTCCTCCGTTCTGATGAAGGCACAGTCTAGCACGGCGAAGCGTAGGTTTTTCGCTTTAGTTTTCGCAACACATAAACGTTTTTGTATCACAGTTTCACTAAAACAATCCTTTCATGTAACGCGTTTACACTGTTTATCTCTTCTGCGCATACCAGTCGTTTCAAGTCACTCCAAAAATCCATTGGTGTCAGGTCCGAGGATCGTGGTGGCCAAGCTACTGGACCCCTCGTCCAATCCACTGTTCACCAAACGTATTATTCGCGCACTTGACGTCCTTATTGTGGGGGAGCACCATCCTGCTGGTAGTAGAGCATTTGGTGTAACGCTAAGGGTACGTCATCAAGCATTTCGTCTAAGACGTCTTGCAGACACTCCAAGCACCATTTTGATTAAATTATTCGTTGTTTGAATACACTTCAGTCATTTTTGTATTATTTAAAACGTGATTTGTGTTTGATGGATTTCTCAGTTTTTTACAAGTGTCAAAAAGACATTTTAAAGACAATAGATTGCAATAGATATTTAAAAATACAATAAAAAAAAAGTAAAAAAGTCTCCATCGCCATCGCCAACAAGTGATGTGCATGCGTTACGATAATTAGTGGTGTGTTTAACAGATTGTCGATAAAATAAAATACTCAAGATTAAAAAAAATAATTCCGGCATTATTTTTTAACGGATTTGTGTTCAGTATCAGTAATATAGTAACCTCTGTAAATATGGCAAGAATGCAAAGTAACACCCTGTATAATTATCTACATCTTTGATTGCAAAGTACCTAATGTTCAAATTAATGTAGTACTGAGATAGTTATATTTCGGCTCGAGTCGATTTTTAAATAGGTAAGTAGTATATGTTACATCATCTACTATACTTTATTAAAATTTACAAAGATGCCAGTTTCTATAGGCGCGGAATAGTGATTGTTAAATCTAACCAAATCTAACTAAACCTAACACCTAACTGAAATAAAAAAAGGTCATCCAGGTAAAAAAAATGCGCATTTGGCTTTATGTCGCTTTTCAGTGGCATTAGATAATTTATAATTACATAAATAACGCAATTACTATAATTGTACTTTTTAGTTACCTACCTACTTTCACTTTTTTGGAGTATTTTTTTTATTTTGTACAGTTACTGTCCACGGTGAAATGTGGGTGAAATCTGACCATGTGTAAGAATGAGGCTTTTGTAAATACTTTTGTATTCTACCCCTCTTACTAATAAAAAGTTACACAAACATACAGTTTTAGTACAATTTGATTCTATCTACTAAAGTGCTACTGAAAAAAAAATCCGGCCAAGTGCGAGTCCGACTCGCGCACGAAGGGTTCCATACGACAATTTTTTTGTTGTATCCCCCATTATTAAAAAAATATTTTATTTTAATTTAATTCGTAGACAAACAGTGGATTTTTAGTAATAGGGTCCCGTTTTCACCCAAAGTACGGAACCTTGAAGAGTACCTAAAATGTCACATAAAAACAAGTGCATTAAAATATTATGAATGTTAACTTTTATTAGTAGGGAGGGTACCTATGTAGTTGTAGGTACATAGTTAGATTTACCTAATCTCAGAGAAAAGGCACGTACGCATTGTAATAACAAGACTTTGTATTATAGTTAGCTGTAAGTAGTTATACTGATAGAATAATTTGGTCTTACTGTGACTACGTGCCTTTTAACTTTAAGCTCTCTTGTAACATTCGCAACTTTACATTATTATCTAGGTAAAAATCTAATGTTATTAAGTATAGATTACTATTTGGTACTTCATCTGTAAATAAATTGCCTATGTTGTTTATTTTTTATTGTTTTTATTAAATCTTCAGAAACTATCCATCGCTTCACTTGTGAGTGTTTTTTGTCCCTTGTCTGCAAGTTTTTCCCCATAATTATTATTTTAATAATTACCGAATTAGGTACACGATGTACCTAGCACAGCAATCGCGCAATGTTAAAGGGTTAAAGTGGAGGCTACGTACCGGAAAGCGCATCGTAGGACGTCCACCTACAAAGTGGACCGAGGACCTCATAAAGGTAAGCAGGAAGGTGCTGGATGCAGGCCGCTACCAAGCGGTCATTATGAAAATCATTGGGGTACAGGCCTATGTTTAGCAGTGGACGTCCTATGGCTGAAATGATGATGATGATGATAAAATATTGCTTTATTAAAATTCCTACGCTAAAAATTATCCATTTGTATTTAATGCCACTATGCAGTCCTAGTTTAACTATTACGAGAAAAACTCATTTTTGCAGTTTTCATACTAGTTGCTATTCAAGTAGCCATAAGATAAAAATAATACAGAATACACTTTTTAGAATCTCAATTAACCAAGGAAGTTTTTAAGGTAATGGGCACGATGGACTTCTTACATTTTTTTTACACGACGGCTGATCAAAAGTGCAAGACAATGAATTAATTTTTCCTTCTTCTCTGCAATTTCTTAAAATGTTCATACTTTTAAACTAGTTTGTTGAACTTTAATCTTTTCTTTTGATAGCCCAACTATAACCCAACGATTTGGTTCCAACGAGACACAATTTCAACGGGACACATTTTCAATC